GTTTAGAGGTTAGAAAATGTGTCTGTTGTATGCCTGTTTGAGTTTCTTTATTCATGTACAGATGAGGAGATGTAACAGACCTCATTTGTCTAGTGTTGAAAACAAACTTTCTAGACAAATTGACGGTTAGCAATTGTCAAAGCTTGTCAACTTGCTAATAAGGGATTAGCAAAATAATAAAGCTTATGCTTTGGGTATAGAAAGGCTGTGGAAACTGATGGATTATGTAGCTTGGATACAGAAGACTTACATAAGCAGCCAGTTTGGGGGGGAGGGGAACTCCCTAACTAGATAAAGCTTGAAGTTTAGTTACAAATAGTAACAAATGTCATAGTCAACTCCCTTGTTAGAGAGGAAATGTGGAGGAGGAGGATTTGTGTTGCCAGGGACATTGGCTGTCAGTCAGAGATTAAAAATCCAATATATTAAAGAAGTGAAGAATGAGGATACATCTGCGGCTACCTATAATCATGAAGTTTCATTTCTCAAGAATGGCTTCTGAGGATCTGATTGCCATGGGTGCATAAACCACAGACCCTGTAACAAATAATAAGCTCTGACTTGAAATAGGCTCCATTGTACCAGGAATTTTTCTCAAGCAGCAAAAGCAGTGCAGCTAGAATATAGATTGTGTGTGCATGCTCAGTCACTCAGTTGTGTCCGACTTTGTGCGACCCTGTGGACTGTAGCCTGCGAGGTTCCTCTGTTTGTAGTTTACAACCTCCCAAACACCAAACACCTTCCCACACACCTTTTTTCCTTTAGTTTAGAGGAAGTTTTTTTTTCTGAAATTAGAATGATCAGAGATTGAATTTTTCCACACGTTAATTTTTCAGATAAGTGACATTTGTGTCTTTGAGTACTGTAACTTTTCCTCTTGAAAACTAAAAAAAAAAAAGATCGAATTTTTACATGTTTATGAAAAAGGAATTTTAATGATGTAGAATAATGAAAAGAAAATACTATTTGTCCAGATCTGGTTACCCAGATGATGTTAGGTGAATAACATCCAAAGAACCTTTATGTATGCATATAATAGCAGACTGGGTAGATAGGTAGAATAGGCTCATGAAACTCTTTTTGAAAATCTTGAGTCTAGATATGTTTTGGAGTTTGGAATTTTTATATTTGGGTAAGATAATATGGTATATATACTGTATATCTTATATCTCCCAGCCCAGCATCTCTAAGTGATACATAATTTAGTATATTAACACTTTTGCATAAGAATGTTCACACTAAAAGATTTTTAAAAGACTGCAAATAGCCTCACTTAAATTCAGGACAGATTTTGCTGCTAAATGACTTATAAAGTATATAAAACATATTCAATTTTCACAGTTTTTTTAAATTTCAGAATTACAGATAAGGAATTGTGGACCTGTGTTTTCATAAATGGGATGACACGACATATGCTATTTTTTAGAGAAAAAGTAATCAATTTAATTGTACCTATAATTGACAGAATAAATAGAAACTGAAGTGAAACCAAAGGAATTGCTGTACTTCACATAAATGTTTCTTTATTACAAAAGATATTATTTTCTAAAATATCTTTCCAAGGTTAAAAGATGAGAGTAAGGAAAATAATAAGAGATTGGAGTCATTCTCTTTGTTGGAATAATTTCTGGCAGCAACCTTCTCAACATGTTTGAGTACTATTAGGCTTATGGCCATCCAAATATTCTGTAACTTTTTCTTTAGTATCGTGAAATTCAAATAACATAATCTACTCATATAGATATTGAAAATATTAATATAAAGCCCAATATGTAGGAAAATAAAAATAAATTAATTTGTTATAAAATATAGTGATATGGATTTCAATATTTAAATCCTTGGGCATTACTACTAAAGACACAATGAAGAAGCGAGATGCTTGCTGTATGTATAATTAACAAGTTTAGATTTAATATAAATTATAAGAAGAGAAGCCATTCCATTCAAAATGATAGCAGAGGTGTGATGTACACTAGACTAAAACTTGATATTAAGTAGTTATATTTGCCATACACCCGAAACTAAACATTGTAAATCAATAAAAAATGTTTAAAGTAATTATAGAGAAGACTTACTTGTATACACAAAATAGGGAAGTAAACTTAATGCAAGTAAGAATAACCTGTGAAGTACTAGGTAGAGAAAATGAAGGCATACGCTAATTGTTGAAAATGAGTACTGTCTTCTTTTCAAGGAAGCTGTTATAATAATTTTCTATGTTGCATCATGAGATGGGATAGTGAAAAAACATGTCAGAAATCATACGCCTATCTTGATGCCTGACTACATGTTGGAGCAAATATTTTGACTCTTAAGACTTTTGATCTTGGAGATCTTGGAGACCATGTCTTTCACAAGTTGACGGGAAACTGAGAAGATCTGAAAGAAGGAGAAGTATTTAAGAGTTTACAGAGAAGTTGTGTGGCAGACCTTTGGGGAAAGTATCAGATAAGACTGAAAACCAGTAGAAAATCTCCAAATAAATCATTTCAATATGTAATTTGACAACATAGATTTCTTATCACTGTGCTGCAAATTTTAAAAAATTGTACAGGATAGCAATAAAATATTTTTAAAAGTAATCTTTATGAAATTCATTGATATATCTACATTTCATTTGACTCTACTAATTTAATGATGTATGGTTTCAAGTCTATTAAAAGAAGTCTCAAATCTCCCTTTACACATTTGCATCTGGTTTCATTCTATTTCCAGGAATTGTACCACTGCTGTGAAACCATTTTCAACTAAATACTTAGTTGGAAAAAAAGGCTACAAATAATTTAGGTCTTTCCAAGAAGTGAGTATGCAAATTTGGAGTCTCAAACTTTTCCTAATTAGATTAATTAAACTGTGTTTTGGCTTCAAAATCTTTCATTTATTTAAACTCAATAAACTTTTCCTGCAAATATTGCCTGGTTTGCAATGTATTAATCAGCCCTATCTTTTATTAATTTATTTAGTTTTAATTGGAGGATAATTACTTTACAACATTGTGTTGGTTTCTGTCATACATGAACATGAATCAGCCATAGGTACACGTATGAATTCCATAGGTATACATAGGAATTCCAGTTGAGCTATTTCAAATCCTAAAAGATGATGCTGTGAAAATGCTGCACTCAATAGGCCAGCAAATTTGGAAAACTCAGCAGTGGCCACAGGACTGGAAAAAGTCAGTTTTCATTCCAATCCCTAAGAAAGGCAATGCCAAAGAGTGTTCAAACTACCGCACAATAGCACTCATCTCACACGCTAGCAAAATAATGCTCAAAATCCTCCAAGCTAGGCTTCAATAGTACATGAATTAAGAACTTCCAGATGTTCAAGTTGGATTTAGAAAAGGCAGAGGAACCAGAGATCAAATTGCCAACATCCACTGGATCATCAAAAAGCAAGAGAGTTCCAGAAAATCATCTACTTCTGCTTTATTGACCATGCCAAAGCCTTTGACTGTGTGGATCACAACAAACTGAAAAACTCTGAAAGAGATGGGAATACCAGACCACCTGACCTGCCTCTTGAGAAATCTGTGTGCAGGTCAGGAAACAACAGTTAGAACTGGACGTGGAACAACAGGCTGGTTCCAAATATGAAAAGGAGTATGTCAAGGCTATATATTGTTACCCTGCTTATTTTAACTTATATGCAGAGTACATCATGAGAAACGCTGGGCTGGATGAAGCACAAGCTGGACTCAAGATTGCCAGGAGAAATATCAATAACCTCAGATATGTAGATGACACCACCCTTATGGCAGAAAGTGAAGAACTAAAGAGCCTCTTGATGAACGTGAAAGAGGAGAGTGAAAAATCTGGCTTAAAACTCAACATTCAGAAAACTAAGATCATGGCATCTGGTCCCATCACTTCAAGGCAAATATAAGGGGAAACAATGGAAACAGTGACAGACTTTATTTTCTTAGGCTCCAAAATCACTGCAGATGTTGACTGCAGCCATGAAATTAAAAGACTCTTGCTCCTTGGAAAAGAAGTTATGACCAATCTAGACAGCATATTAAAAAGCAGAGACATTACTTTACTGAGAAAGGTCCATCTAGTCAAGGCTATGGTTTTTCCAGTAGTCATGTACAGATGTGAGAGCTGTACCATAAAGAGAGCTGAGCGCTGAAGAATTGACGCTTTTGAACTGTGGTCTTGGAGAAGACTCTTGAGGGTCCGTCCCTTGGACTGCAAGGAGATCCAACCAGTCAATCCTAGAGGAACTCAGTCCTTAATATTCATTGGAAGGACTGATGCTGAAGCTGAAGCTCCAATACTTTGGCCACCTGTTTCGAAGAACTGACTCACTGGAGAAGACCTTGATGCTGGGAAAGATTGAAGGCAGAGAAGGGGATGACAGAGGAGGAGTTGGTTGGATGGTATCACCGACTCGATGGACATGAGTTTGAGCAAGCTCCGGGAATTGGTGATGGACAAGGAAGCCTGGTGTGCAGCAATCCATGGGGTTGCAAAGAATCAGATACGACTGAACAACTGAACTGAACTGAACTGATACATATGTCCCCTCTCTCTTGAATCTCCCTCCGACTTTCCACCCCATCCCACCCATCTAGGTTGTCACAGAGCACTGGGTTGAGCTCCCTGAGTCAGACAGCAAATTCCCACTAGCTATCTATTATGGTTATAGTAATATATATGATTCTACTGTACTCTCAATTCATCCCACCCTCTCCTTCCTCCACTGTGTCCACAAGTCTGTTCTCTATGTCTGCCAGCCCTATCTTTAAATCTAAACTAACTAAAAATTTAAAGGCAACATTTGAAAACCAGTCGTTTAAGAACAACTCTTTCTTTAGGGAGAATGAAGAATGCTCTGGACCAGGAGCTTAGTTAGGTTCAGACTTCTGAAAGGCCCTCGAAGCTCCGCCCCGCACAGCCCCGCCTGCAGGCCCAGCCCCGCACTGTCCCGCCCCACACGTAGTCCTCGCTCCTCTTCCGTACACACCGCCTCTAGAGCGGGCGTCGACGTCGCCGGAAGTGACGTACATGGGCCGCCGGAGGTGTCGTTGGTGCGTTGCGCGACTGGGCCTGAGCGTGGAGTGGGGCCTGCGCCCGGAAAGACAACGCTATGTCGATCGAAATCGAGTCCTCAGAGTGAGTCTCGTGGTGTCGGATGTTCGCGAAGTGGCCGGGCCGGGAGTCGATGAGTTGAGGGGTGGAAGCTGCTCGAGGGAGGCGTCCGAGAGGTTGGGCAGTGGAGGAGTATTTACTTCCCCACAAAGAAGCTTCTGGGATCTGACTGCTTCAGGGGCGGGCCCACAAGAAAGTAGCGAACGGAAAGCCCAAAGCCCGGTGGAAGGCGGCGCGGGGCTAGGGGTAGGACGTGCCCGCAAACCTGAGTTCTTCTCCTCGCCGACTTCTGATGCGCCCTGAGACTGAGCAGATTAGCCATCCAGTCAGGACTCCGGTCTCATCTGCACAGGGGGCCGCACTCTTAGCCGGCCCTGTCTGCCTGCCCCCTTGAGCACGGTGGTTTGGTGTGCTTACACGGCCCTCTGGTTTCTTCTGCCTAGCTCTTAATCGGGTGTTGTCACCGTTTGCTCACCCTTCTAGCCTGTGTCGGCGCCTGGGGGCTGCTTTTCATCAGGTTGGCCTGTGAGCTTTGTGTAGCCCCAAGGGAGGGACAGAATGTGGAAATTGGGCCAGGAGAATGATGGATTTGGGGGAGAGGGGTACTAATGAGTGACTGAAGAAAGTCTTCGGTGAACTTCTCCAGGAATCCATCCTCTACTTTCTCTTGCCAACGCTTGATAATTAAATCGGCAGACTTAACATGAGTTAAGGGAGAGGACTTGTCCTCAATATCTGCCGTAGGAGGAAGGGAGGTTTATTCATTCAGGAAATATTGAAGTCTGCTGTGTACCTGCTCTAGACCCTGGGAATATGGTAGTGAATGAAGCAGACCAAAGTCCTTGCCCTTATAGAAAGAGGAAGGAAACAGCAGACAAAAGCAGTAAGTAAAACAGGCTTACAGATGGTGGTAAGTGTTGTGGAGAAAAGTAAAACAAGGGTGATGGAGAGTGCTGGGGATGAAGGCAACTAGGAGTTGGCAGGAATTGGAAAGGATTCCTTGCTTCAGACCCTGAATTAAAAGTGAGAACAGATCATTCTCCCAGCCCTGAGCTGCTGCATGTTTTTTTATTATCAATAATTGCTGTGTTAAGTATTTTCTCTGCTAGTCACACTGTAAGCAGTGTCATCTTCTCTTTGATCAGCCCAACAGACTGATCTGTATACCCTTCAGAGTAGGTATTTTTCTTAACAGATGAGGAAATAGGCAAAGACACATTAACTGACTTGTCCAAAGTCACAGTAAGTGCAGAGCTCTGATTCAAATCCCAGTCTATCTCCAAAGCTTTTAACTCTTATGTATTACACAAAGAAGAAAGTGAATTTGATTTTGGCTCTAGCAAATATGAGTTCTTTGCAAGCATGGTGTCTCATTGTGGGTGTGTAAATGGAAGTGTGCTGTGGGAAACAGTGTGGCGCTGGAACAGCAGGGATCCAAGCTGGGGTCTCTTAACAGGCCCATGGGAGAAAAGACCACTGTGAGTAGCAGTATTCACTTTCCTTCTGCAAGAACTATTTTTAAGAAGAGGGGGTTTGCTTTCTTATCTGGGCTATTGGAAGGACTGATGCTAAAGCTCCACAACTTTGGCCACCTGTTGCAAAGAGTCGACTCATTAGAAAAGACCCTGGTGCTGAGAAGGATTGAAGGCAGGAGGTGAAAGGGATGAGAGAGGATGAAGTGGTTGGATGGCATCACTGGCTCAATGGGCGTGAGTTTGAGCAAGCTCCAGGAGAATTATGAAAGACAGGGAAGCCTGGCCTGCTGCAGTCCATGGGTTCGCAAAGAATCAGACACAACTGAGTGACTGAACAATAACAATATATGCTCACATGCTACCCTGCCAGTTTGAATCTTCCTTTTTCCACTTAGCTCTGTTTCCTGGCCAAATCCTCATCTGTAAAATGGACATAAGAGTAAATGCCATCCTCATAGGGTTGTTTTGAGGAGTAACTGAGTCCAAAATGCTTAGAACAGTACCTGATATATTGTGAACACTGGTCAAGTAAACATCGGTCATTGTGTTTTGATTATTATTTCTTTCCCGGGAAAGAGAACAGACTAAATTCCGTTATGAAATCTCTTCCAATCTGGACAGTGTGACCCCTGATGCTCATGCTGTCCAGTAGAAATATGCATGAGCCGTATGTGTACTTCTAAGGCAAGAGAAGAACAGTGTAATACAGCAATGTACATGAACTTTTACTTTCTATATAAAAAATTATTCACCAGACTCCTTAATACTAAGCCAAAGACCAAGATATATTAACTATATATATTTATATACATATATATTTAACTATAAATGACTTGTAAATTTTCTGTCACATGCTGAAAATTGTTGCTTGTTCTCTCAATATTTGGAGATTGTCTGGATTCTCTTTCCCTTGGGAAACTGTATCAACATGTTTTTATTTCACTTGTCCTGAAATTATAGTAATAATGGCAGTGGGTAGGTGTTATTTTTGTGAGGACACAAAGCTTTGTTTTGAATTTACATCTAATATAGCTCTACTTACTTGTGTTCAACAAATCCCTGTTAAAAAGGTCTCAGTTCATATTTTTTTTTACTGTCATTTAAAAGTGGACCAAACCATCCAGTCATTTCTGTGTCAGCGAGTAGACCAGGTTTAAAATATTTTCCTAAAGTGTGCAACAGTGGAATCATATGAGTTAACAAGAAACTTGGCATAATAAAAAGATCTCTGACCTTGCAAGTATGAGAGTCTTCTTGGTACTATCTTGCTTTCTGACTGAGAGACACGGGACAAGTTATTTCCCCTCACTGAACCCCAGTTCTATGTATGGGTTCGAAGTGGGAACTGGGTGATCCCCAGGGTCTTCTGTAACTCGGACTCTATGATGTGGGGGGTGGGGGAGGGAAGGTTTTACTCACATGATAAATGGAAAGCAGGTAGTGAAAGGAGGATGGGTGCAGAAAAAAATAAACTGGGCCTAGTTTTGTGGCATCTTTGGTGAGTGAGGATCCCTGAGCTGAATGACACGCTTGCTTCTTTCAGTGTGATCCGGCTCATTATGCAGTACCTCAAGGAGAACAGTCTACATCGGGCGCTAGCCACCTTGCAGGAAGAGACGACTGTGTCTCTGAATACAGTGGACAGCATTGAGAGTTTTGTGGCTGACATTAATAGTGGCCATTGGGATACTGTTTTACAGGCTATACAGTCTCTGAAATTGCCAGACAAAACCCTCATTGACCTCTATGAACAGGTAAGAGTGGGGATAATGCTGATTTCCTGGACCTGGGTTTATTGTGGGCCTCCCTGACCAGAGAGCATCCATAAGCATTTCTGCAAGTGTTTTGGGCTGTGACAGCCCTTAAAATTTACTCTCGAAGTTTGAGTGTTACTCTGTATTTTTTTTAAATCTTTATTTTATTTATTATTTATTTATTTATTTGGCTGCACCGAGTCTTAGTTGCAGCATGTGGGATCTAGTTCCCTGATCAGGGATCGAACCAGGGCCCCCTGCATTGGGAGCATGGAATCTCAGCCACTGGACCAACAGAGACGTCCCCACTACTCCGTATTTTTATCTCTCTTCTTGGAAAAGCCAAGATTTCCCCAAATTGGTATTATTTCTCAAGTAACCATTAAATGATCTAACATCAACCATTCATACACCAAATAGTGTACTGAAGTTTAGTTCTGACACTAACTACCACTAACCAACCACTAACTTATTGGTGTAGACCCCACAAGTTAAGGGCTCAGTCCTCTATAGGACTGTCTTTATTTCACACACCAGTAATATTTTGATGTCTTGGGCCACCCACACTTCTGACCAACTGGCCACAAATTTAAGGGTCCTCATGACCCACTCAGAATGGATATTTCAGTAGAATGACGCAGAACTCAGAAAAGTGACATAGTGATGATGGCAGTTTTATTATCAAGGGAAGAGATCAGTACCAGCCAAATAGAGAGACACGTAGGGTAAGGTTTGGGAGGGTACTGAACCACAGTCTCCAGTGCCTTCTCCCCATGGAGTTAGGGTCGGTCTGTCGCCTGGCATTGAAGTATTCATCAACCAGGAAGCTTCATGATTTTTCATTCAACCTCCAGTTCTTTTTTTTTTTTTCAACCTCCAGTTCTTTGACTCTCTTTGGGGTTGGGCTGGTTCAAAGCATCAGCAACCCTCAAATCATGTGGTTGGTCCTAGTGGTAACCAGTCCCTATCCTGAGCCATCTCCGTAGCACTAACTAGGTGTGATGCAGAGCGCTCATGAGTAACAAGGGTATTTATCAGCGGGGAGATTCCAAGGTTTTTAGAAGTTCTATGCCAGGAAACCAGTACATAGATCATAAAATTGTTTAACTGTACAACAGAGCTGAGTAGACTTTCTGGAAATAAGAATGTTGTGTGATTTGAAGTGAAAATAGGGAAATGGGTTTGTTTCTTTACAATCCATGTGGGTTTAGTAATACCCTGAAGAAAATTTTGGTAACTGAAGGACAGTTTCTCTGGAGCCCATGGATATATTTCCATCTTTTTAGTTTTTTTTACATCTTACATTTGGAATAAGAGACCTGACAGGAGGGGAGATTGGTAGATAAAAAGGAAGGATGGAAGTTATTATTGTATAACTACTTTAGTTGTCTGTGTGAAATTGCCTATGGAGAGGGAAAAGGGCATTTCCTTTTGTGATTTGTGATTTGGAAATCACTTTGGCAGACCATTTCTGTGTCGGAAATTGTACTGAAAAAGAAAACGAGCTAAGAGAATGCATTGAAGCCACCACTTTCTTTCAATTTTACAGGTTGTTTTGGAATTGATAGAGCTCCGAGAATTGGGTGCCGCCAGATCTCTTCTGAGACAGACTGACCCCATGATCATGTTAAAACAAACACAGCCAGAGCGGTATATTCATCTGGAAAACCTCTTAGCCAGGTCTTATTTCGATCCTCGAGAGGTAAGACTGATAATGGAAAGAAACTGCTGTTGACTTTGAAAATGTGCAATAATGTGATATATATATATTTTTTAATAATGTGATTTTTTTTAAACCATGTTATTGGATACTTTTTATAATTTTGATTTAGTTTTTACAGTGATACTTTTTTGTTTATTTACATTGGTTGGAATTTGCATATATTAAAGAGGGTAGTCTTGTTCATTTTCTGAGTACTTGAGGGCCTTCTGCGCACACCCCATCATATAGGATTATGTGTTCATTAGTGAAAAAGCAGAAGGTTTATTCTGGTGTTATTTCTATTATTAGCCTAAGTACCTGCCCAGAGGCACTGCTCTACTGTTGGTGTGTTCACTGTGCATTTGTGTCCTTAGCTCTTAACAACTGCAGTTTCCTTTCAGTTCTTTTATTTCTTAAAAGCTTATGTTTCTGCTTCTCAGCTGCTTATGCTCCTGGTAGAGCATTGTGATTGATACTCTTTTATTCTTCAAAACTCTTAGATATAGTTTCATTCTTTCTCAGCCAGCCTTTTACCAGAAGCTTTTCTAAATAGGAGGAAGAAGAATTTAATAGGCCCTGAGTAACGGAAAAGTTAGAGTAAACTCAAGGAAACTATGAGGATAAAAGAGGGAGTTTAGATTGCCAGGACAGAATTTAAGTTAGAGTTATTAAAGAACTTCGGGGCTGGGAGTCATTTGACTGAAAGAAATTATTAAAGATTATAAAAGGATCCTTGGCTTTGCAGATGTTTTAAAAACTGGAAAAACAACTCTGACTTTTACATAGTTTATTATTATTGACGTATACTTATTATTATGAGACTCTTTGACATGTATTTGGGCTTCCCTGGTGGCTCAGAGGGTAAAGCATCTGCCTGCAATGCGGGAGATCTGGGTTCGATCCCTGGGTTGGGAAGATCCCCTGGAGAAGGAAATGGCAACCTACTCCAGTATTCTTGCCTGGAAAATCCCATGGACGGAGGAGCCTGGTAGGCCACAGCCCATGGGGTTGCAAAGAGTCAGACACGACTGATTGACTTTGCTTGCTTGACATATATTTATTATTTACTATTTTGAGGCTCTTTTCAGAAATAACTGTGGATTGGCTGACCTCAGTTCTGTCTCAGCTCATGCTTTTGAAATGCAAGTGGGTAGAATTGAGACATCATTTTAAAAAACTAATTAATTTGATTAATCCTCTGTTTAACTGGGTAGTTTCTTTTTATCTTTTGCGTTTTGAATGTTTCTGCTTCGTTACTGTTGGTATTTTTAAAAAAATAAGCACATTTATATCTTTTTCCATTTCTTGGAAATGATGCTGTGCCCCTCCCCTTTTTCAGGCATACCCCGATGGCAGTAGCAAAGAGAAGAGAAGAGCAGCCATTGCCCAGGCCTTAGCTGGGGAAGTCAGCGTGGTGCCTCCATCTCGTCTCATGGCTTTGCTGGGTCAGGTAATTAAAGTCTTTGGAACTGAAATTCCTGTGAACTCCTGGTAATGTTTCTTGTGTATAAACTCTTATGTATGAGCTAAAGAAATTAACCTGAGAACTGGGAACTACCTATAGAACTGCTTGTACCGACAGCTGTGCCGCGCCACATTCGTCCTTCCTGGGAGTGGTAGTGCAGGTTAGTGGTTACGGGCATACACTCTGGAGACAGATTTAGAGTAACAATAAAATTTATTGTCCCATCTTGACATTGTTGATCATCGAGTCAGAACACCAGAAGAAATATTTGCCATAGTTAGAATCTGAGCTCTCTCACTTACCGGCTCTGTGGTATTGGACACATTGCCTAACTTTTTTGATCCCATTTACTCATCATGGTGTTGTACTAAGGATTAAAGGAGATAAAATGTACTTAAAGCAATTGTATGTTGACTGGCACCTTGTTAATACTCAGTAAATGGTAGCTGCCAGTGGTGTTCTTTTTTATTTTTTTAAGCAGTAGTAGTAGTAGTAGTAGCATTGTCATTATTATTTATAAAGCTGTCTAGAGTGTTAGATGTTACATAAATAGCAGAGTTACAAGTCATTAATAGAGATGTAAATAGCCTGTTTACACTAAATCTGCATTTTGAAAGGGGCCAAAAAGCTACTGTTAGAGGCTTACAGTGTTTCTGAAATTCAAAAATAAGCTGCTTTATTTCTTAATTTACTCTTTATCTAAGTGATAGATGTGCATAATTTAAGTAGTACCTCGAGGCTTTTAGAGCTTCCTTGTTGGCTCAGATGGTAAAGAATATGGCGGGCCACAGTTCATGGGCTCGCAAAGAGTCAGATACAACTGCGTGACTCACACTTTGACTTCTCAGGGCTTTTAGTGAGAAAATAATTCCATCTGCCCTTTTCCACCTTCTTACTTCCCACAACCATTTTTAACTCTTGGCATTTACCTTTGTAGCTGAATATCATGCTTATAATGTCATATTTTGATATTTTTTAGAAAAAGTTTTAAACACTAACTGTTGACTAGTGGAAGACGATTTCTCTCTTACCTGTTCCCCATAACATGCACACATTCTTCTTTCTCTAGATTTTCAGTATAGTTATATCACAGCTTTTGGTTAAATCGTTTCAGTGTTTACATTATCTTTACATCAATATTGCTTGTAGACAAAAAATAACTTTAATTTCTTATGTAATTTTGATGATTCTTTGCACTAATTGCTTAATTTCTTTCTTTTGCCTAGTTTTCTGTGTAACTTTTGCTTCTTCATCCTGTATCATTAAATAAGTGTAAAAATTCTCCCTTTCCCTCTGCTTGCTGATATTTTCCCTGAGGCCTTTCTCTCTCTTGTTCTCATGATTTCCTGCACAGTGATTGTACTGGGAGTTCTTTCATCTTCATACTGAGAGTTCTGGGTCATATTTTTCAGGAACATGTTTTCCTTCTCGTAGTTTAGAACCTTGTTTTAATGGAATACTTCTGGTAACTTCCTAAGGAAGGGTACACAGAGGTAAGTTTTTGAGAGTTTGCTTGTGTAAGCAATGTCTCTTACCTCTTTTTTTTTTTTGAAGGTTTTGTTTATTCTGAAATACAAGAAAAGTCATAGGAGTCCTGCCACCCAGAGTTTACATATGCATGTTAACAAATTGTTTTGTTTCATAGAATTTGTGCATCTTTTTAAATGTATACATGAAATATTTTTAATGTTAATGTCTTAGAAAAAAAACTTTTTTATATTATAGTTAAGAGGTAGTCACATTCAGAATCTCCACAGAAGATAATCTCAGGAGAGGCCATGTGTATATTCATTCTACAAGTATTAAGCACCTGATATGTGCCAGGCATTGTATCCATGAAATAAAGATGTCTTTCTTGGAGGAGTTTATATTCTTGTAGCAAAGATGGACAGTAAATAGTAAACAGCATTTAGCAAATTATGGTATGATAGGAATGACTATTGTGCTTAGTCGCTCAGTTGCATCCAACTCTTTGTGGCCCTATGGTCTAGCCCACCAGGCTCCTCTGTCCATGAGATTCTCCAGGCAAGAATACTGGGTTGCCATGCCCTCCTCCAAGGTATCTTCCCAACCCAGGGATCGAACCCAGGTCTCCTGCATTGCAGGCAGGTCCTTTCCTGTCTGAGTCACCAGGGAAGCCCAACAGCTATTGGGATAAACTGAGAAACTTAGAGGAGAGGAGAGGCATGGTAAGTACATAGGCGGGTTGCAGACGTTTGTTAAGGGAGAGTGTTCAGTTCAGCTCAGTCCCCTTGCTCAGTCGTGTCCAACTCTTTGCAACCCGATGGTCTGCAGCACGTGAGGCCTTCCTGTCCATCACCAACTCCTGGAGTTTACTCAAACTCATGTCCATTGAGTTGGTCGGTGATGCCATTCAACCATCTCATCATCTGTCATCCCCTTCTCCCGCCCTCAGTCTTTCCCAGCATAAGGGTCTTTTCAAATGTCAGTTCTTCACATCAGGTAGCCAAAGTATTGGAGTTTCAGCTTCAGCATCAGTTCTTAAATGAATATTCAGGACTGATTTCCTTTAGGATGGACTGGTTGGATCTCCTTGCAGTCCAAGGGACTCTCAAGAGTCTTCTCCAACACCACAGTTCAAAAGCATCAATTCTTTGGCAATCAGCTTTCTTTAGAGTCCAACTCTCACATCCATACATGACTACTGNTAAGTGGACTCATGTGACATGTAGGGAGGATGGTGGCAGATTTGAAGATGTGCCATGCAAATATTCTTCAAGAAAGAGCTCATTGACCAGTTGCAAAGACTGATTAGTTGATAGTCTCATTGCTAACTCCGTCAGACCAGCCTCCACTTTTGAGCTGAGATCACACTTCTTTAAAGCTGACAAATTTCTTTAAAATTTGTGATTATTTTCAGTAATTTAAAGGACTTCATGCACAAACTCAAAAGTTCTTTTCACATATATTTCATTTTTCATTTTCATTCACATATTTTTCATTTCATTTATATAGCTAAAAAATGGTGTTTTGAGGCTTGATGATTTATTCATACTATTTTCTACTCCTGGAGAGATCTTAAAAAAATCTCCAGAATATTATCCTGGAAAATAGGGATGTATAACATGTACAAATTTTTCAAGAACACATATATTGGGAGTCATTTTCATGTTGTTAGATGACCTGCTTTACCATCCATTGGGTAGAAGGCACACACTTTTTCCTACTGGCTGACCCACCCTCTACTTCTGTCCTCACAATAGGATTACTTCGTGGTTTCCTCAACTACATGCTTTGCTGTCTGCTCCCTCTTGTGGACTGTTCTTTAGTTGGTTTGTTTTTGCAATCAATTTTAGACAGCACCTATTGCTATATTTCTAAAACTGCTTGCAGTAACATGAGACTTATATTTTATCCTTTGAGCAATGACTGGTCAGTACAGACTGATGTATTTTACATAAAAAAAACTTTTAAATTAATTTAAAAATAGTCAATGATTTTTTTAAAAGGCAGTCAATAATTTTATTGAGTTATTAACTATAGGTAGATTGTGAGTGAGTTTTTAAAATTTCCTCATTTCTCAAACATCCTATAATGTTCTTGTTGTTTTGTACTTATTTTTTAACCAGTTTTTCCTTAGCTAATTGAATTGTCTCTAATGTGCTAAGATAAAGTTTAGAATTGAATGCTTAAATTTAACATTCAATCAGACATAGGAAGAAAAATGATTGAGCAGTCTTTTGTAGTATATCTCTTTTTTTTCTATACAATTTTGAGAGATTACTTTACATTTACAGTTATTAAAAAATGTTGGCTAGCTTTTTTCCTCCCTGGCTGCTTGAAGATCAGCCGCCACCATGAACGACACAGTAACTATCCGGACTAGGAAGTTCATGACCAACCGGCTGCTTCAGCGGAAACAAATGGTCATTGATGTTCTTCACCCTGGAAAGGCAACAGTACCTAAAACAGAAATTCGGGAAAAACTGGCCAAAATGTACGAGACCACACCAGATGTCATCTTTGTATTTGGATTCAGAACCCATTTTGGTGGCAAGACAACTGGCTTCGGCATGATTTACGATTCCTTGGATTACACAAAGAAGAATGAGCCCAAACATAGGCTTGCAAGACATGGCCTGTATGAGAAGAAAAAGACCTTAAGAAAACAGCAAAAGGAATGCAAGAACAGAATGAAGAAAGTCAGGGGGACTGCAAAGGCCAGTGTTGGTGCTGGCAAAAAGTGAGCTGAAGATTGGACAACAGAAGGAGTAAAGATTCTGCAGTGACTGTATCTGTGGTGATTGTGCAGATTTTTCATGAAAGAATAAACTAAGACCTTTTACATGTCCAAAAAAAAAAGTCATCTGAGTTAAATTCACCCATTCCAGTCCATTTTAGCTCGCTGATTCCTAAAATGTTGACGTTCACTCTTTCCATCTCCTGTTTGACCACTTCCAATTTGCCTTGATTCATGGACCTAGCATTCCAGGTTCCTATGCAGTATTGCTCTTTACAGCATTGAACTTTACTTCCATTATCAGTGCCATCCACAACTTGGTGCTGTTTTTTCTTTAGTTCTGTCTCTTCATTCTTTCTGGAGTTATTTCTCCACTGATCTCCAGTAGCATATTGGGCACCTACCGACCTGGGGAGTTCATCTGTCCTATCTTTTTGCCTTTTCATACTGTTCATGGGGTTCTCAAGGCAAGAATACTGAAGTGGTTTGCCATTCCCTTTTCAGTTCTTGTCAGAACTCTCCACCATACTTGTCCATCTTGGGTGGCCCTACATGGCATGGCCCATACTTTCATTGAGTTAGATAAACCTGTGGTCCATGTGATCAGATTGGTTAGTTTTCTGTGATTGTGGTTTTCAGTCTGTTTGCCTTCTGATGGAGAAGGATAAGAGCCTTATGGAAGCTTCCTGGTGGGAGAGACTGACTGAGGGGGAAACTGGTTCTTGTTCTGATGGGCAGGGCCATGCTCAGTAAATCTTTAATGCAATTTTCTATTGATGGGTGA